CCAGGTAGGAGACCAGCTCACTCGTACTATACCAGGAAGTCGGGCATTACAGTTTAGTAGTATAATCTTCTTATGATCCGTGTATATATATGGTACAGTATTTGATCCCATGAAGTTAAAAATGTGTTTAAAATAAAGTTATACTCTCACACAATTATTATTATTACTATTTTTCTCGACTGTAAATTTCACATCATGTTTGTTTATTTGTTACTCGTATATTTTTTATTGTTTGTATATAAATGAACACTTTACAGCGCAGTTGTCGGACAATTAAAATAATTCATTGTTTTAGGCTCCGACGACTGATGAACGTAACGTATTATAGTGAGATAAAAGACCATTTTGTGTTGGTTATGAAATGAATATTGATGCGACATGACAATATTTCACAACATAAAAGTTCTTTGTATCAGTTAACCGATCAACAAAATAAGCTGTTAATGTCGGATAAGCGAAAATGTTGGGGAGTTTTTTTGTGCCAGAGGAGAAAGATCCGGTTGTGTCGGAGAGGCGAAAATGCGTTATAATGGTCGGATAAGCCAGTGTCGCTGTACAGATGTGTGGGTGTAAGTATAGAGTTGTGTTACAGGTGTACAGAATCATGTTACACTGTACGGGTAACACGAATGTTACTTTACGGATAACACGAATGTTACTTTACAGATAATACGAATAATGTTAGTTTACGGATAAAACGAATAACGCTATTTTACGGATAAACAGAATTCGGAAAGTTAATTTTGGGTTATAATCGGAAGCACTAAATGAAACATGGGGCTTCACTTCGTCGGATAAGAACAAATTCCGAACGATTGGTCGGCTTTTCCGTGTCAATTCTTACGTCATATGAACATTTTTTCGGTTATTGCAGAATATAATTATAGTTGGTCGGTTCTTTAGGTTGTATAATTATTAATGTCGGGTGTTCGGTTATCGGGAACTCTTGAACGATTGGCCAGTTGCTACCTCATATAAATGCGAATAGCGTATAGTTGGGTTTTTGGAACACCCTGTACTGCTGGTGAATGGTTAGAGGAAATACTTTGGAGACGTTATATGCTGTTATGGGACAAGACTTAAGAGCATAGCTGTTATGGTATTATGGGGGCAAGACTTAAGAGCAAGGTAGTTATGGGGCAAGATTTAAGGGCAAGGCTGGTTATGGAGAAAGACCCAAGGGCAAGGCTGTTATGGTGTTATAGGGCAAGGCTTAAAGACAAGGCTGTTATGAGAGCAAGACTTAAAGACAAGGCTGTAATGCGGGCAAGACTAAAGGGCAAGGCTGTTATGGGGGCAAGGCTGTCAGGGTTAACATTAACGGTGGAGGGGGTAAAGGGGGCAGGAAGAGTGAAGCTGTTCGTTACTAGGTACCTTGTTGCCCGCGCTTGAGCACCCGGTAATGACAGATGGTAGAATGATTGACAGCCGCCACTTTGCCGGATTGATGACGCCATGAATATGTTCAACCCTCAATTTTGTCATCAACTCTTAGGGGCGTGTTGGAGGTCGTAGTTGGCCGCGTGGTTTGTGTGTGTGTGTGAGGGGGGGTCGTTATGGTTGGGTGGTAGTGTTGTGTTATGGTGTGTTGTGGTTGTGTGGTAGTGTTGTGGTTGTGTGGTAGCGTGGGAGTGTTGTGCTGTGGTTGGGTGGTAGTGCTGTGTTATGGTGTGTGTTGTGGTTGTGTGGTAGTGTTGTGTTATGTTGGTATTTGTGGTAGTGTTGTGTGGTTGTGTGGTAGTGTTGTGGTTTGTGTGGTAGCGTGGGAGTGTTGTGCTGTGGTTGGGTGGTAGTGCTGTGTTATGGTGTGTTGTGGTTGTGTGGTAGTGTTGTGTTGTGTGGTTGTGTGGTAGTGTTGTGGTTGTGTGGTAGCGTGGGAGTGTGTGCTGTGGTTGGGTGGTAGTGTTGTGTTATGGTGTGTTGTGGTAGTGTTGTGGTTGTGTGTGGTAGCGTGAGTGTTGTGCTGTGGTTGGGTGGTAGTGCTGTGTTATGGTGTGTTGTGGTTGTGTTGTATTATGGTGTGTTGTGTGGTGCTATGGTCAATATTTTATGGTCGGTTAGGGTAGGTTAGGTTATGTATTGGTGACATATAGTAATTGTGGTTATTGGTATGGTGATTGTTATTATGTGATTGTAGTTTTAGGATAACACTGGTATTCTGTGGTACTGTTAAGGTATTTCAGGTATCGCTCTTGATTTGGTCACGCTGTAAACAAATTAATAAACAAGCCTATTCTTGTTTAAGTAATTTTGTTTGAATTCATTGATAATTGTTTACTAATGAATCCGGAACGCCCCCCCCCCCTCAGAAAGCGACTGGAGTAGAGAATTTAATTTTGTGATGATAATCTGGTTGTTTTCAGGTCATGAGGTGTAATTAAACGTTCTTGATTCTCACCTGACGAAGGGAAAACAATTATTACAAGACCTGAATAGTGATAATTGACAGATCAGATAAGGTACCAAGAAGGATTTATTTATCTCGTGTTTAGATAAATGTTCACGTCGACCAGGTTAGGTTAGGTTAGGTTAGGTTAGAGGATATACCTGTGGAGGATAGTCAGCGCTCTGTAACTACTGTATGCATCTCTGTGTATATGTATGTATGTTTGTATGTATGTATGTATGTATGTATGTATATGCATGTATGTACAGTATGTATGGATGGTATGTCGCAAAGGGTTCCAGTGCTCATACGTGTGGCTTTTATACTTTGATAGCTCCGAAATTGCGTTATTAGGTAAAAAAAAAAATAAAATAAAACACTCAAGGTAACACAGCGTTAGAACAACATAACTGGCGTGGTGTCAGCTGGATCATGTGCTGTGTTATGTGGTGGGGTGAGACACTAGCTTGCCCCAGGGTCTGTGCTGTGTTATGTGGTGGGGTGAATTTGGGTGGCTGTGTTATGTGGTGGTGAGACACTACTTCCCCGGTCATGTGCTGTGTTATGTGGTGGGGTGAGACACTAGTTGCCCCTGGATCATGTGCTGTGTTATGTGGTGGGGTGAGACACTAGCTTGCCCCTGGGTCATGTGCTGTGTTATGTGGTGGGGTGAGACACTAACTTGCCCCTGGGTCATGTGCTGTGTTGTGGTGGGTGAGACACTACCGGGTTCTGTGTTATGGGTGAGACACTATTCCGGGTCATGTGTGTGTTTGTGGTGGGGTGGACACTAGCTTGCCCTGGTCATGTGCTGTGTTATGTGGTAGACCTGCTTGCCCTGGGTCATGTGCTGTGTTATGTGGTGGGGTGAGACACTAAGCTTGCCCCTGGGTCATGTGCTGTGTTATGTGGTGGGGTGAGACACTAAGCCTGGTCATGTCTGTGTTTGTGGGTGGCTTTCCCCTGGGTCATGTGCTGTTTATGTGGTGGGTGAGACATCTTGCCCCTGGGTCATGTTGCTGTGTTATGTGGTGGGGTGAGACACTAGCTTGCCCCTGGGTCATGTGCTGTGTTATGTGGTGGGGTGAGACACTAGCTTGCCCCAGGGTCATGTGCTGTGTTATGTGGTGGGGTGAGACACTGCTTCCCTGGGTCTTCTGTTATGTGGTGGGGTGAGACACTAGCTTGCCCTGGATCATGTGCTGTGTTATGTGGTGGGGTGAGACACTAGCTTGCCCCTGGGTCATGTGCTGTGTTATGTGGTGGGGTGAGACACTACTCCCCCTGGGTCATGTGCTGTGTAATGTGGTGGGGTGAGACACTAGCTTGCCCCTGGGTCATGTCTTGTGTTATGTGGTGGGGTGAGACACTAGCTTGCCCCTGGGTCATGTGCTGTGTTATGTGGTGGGGTGAGACACTAGCTTTCCCCTGGGTCATGTGCTGTGTTATGTGGTGGGTGAGACACTTGCTTGCCCCTGGGTCATGTGCTGTGTTATGTGGTGGGGTGAGACACTTGCTTGCCCCTGGGTCATGTGCTGTGTTATGTGGTGGGGTGAGACACTATCTTGCCCTGGGTCATGTGCTGTGTAATGTGGTGGGGTGAGACTAGCTTGCCCCGGGTCATGTGCTGTGTTATGTGGTGGGTAGACACTAGCTTGCCCTGGGTCATGTGCTGTGTTATGTGGTGGGGTGAGACACTAGCTTGCCCTGGGTCATGTCTTGTGTGTGGTGGGGTGACTCTTGCCCTGGGTTGTGTGTGTTTTGGTGGGGTGGAACTTGCTTGCCCTGGGTCATGGCTGTGTTATGTGGTGGGGTGAGACACTATCTTGCCCTGGGTCATGTGCTGTGTTATGTGGTGGGGTGAGACACTATCTTGCCCCTGGGTATATATATAAGGTGGTCGATGGGTATTTAAATGGTATCGGGATAGGGTTTGGCCGTGTGATGGTCTTTTTTTTAGTGATTCGGTTCTCTCTAATAGCCGGATAGGGTATAGACGCCGGATATGGTGCACCAACTGATTATTGTGGTATACAGTAGGTCTCCATGAAAGCCAGATATATAAAAGTTTAGGTTCTGGATATTATGTGGCACCTGGATAATGCGGCACACACACACACACACAGAATGCTAATTGCGTTATAGCCAGTTCACGACAGCCGGATACAGTAAATGTGGGGTGCAATTAATGAGCTTGTGAATGTAATGACCACTGGGCCGAACATCATACCCACATCACCTTTCATTAACTCTAAAACTTATCTCCAGAACCGGAACCACACCTGGAACCGGATCCAAAGCCGGACCTTGAACCGGTCCAAAAACCGGCTCCCGAGTAGGTCCTTGAATAGAGTTGGAGTTTTGTCACCTCTTGAGTTTTCATACTTATGCATTTTGGTTTATGTTGGGGGTAGGTTAGGTTAGGTTAAGTTAGGTTAAGTTATATTAGGTCAGGTTAGGCAAAGGTTAGGTTAGTTAGGTTAGGTTGGGTTAGACAAAGGTTAGGTTAAGTTAGGTTAGGTCATTTTGCCACTGTTCTCCTTCACTGCTTCCTTGGTCGTTGTCACCCTCACCGCCTCACCATCTTCAAGAAAATCACTAAAAATCACTGCTCATGTCTGTCACTGTCACCTTCACTTCAAGACCCGTAACTCGTGACCTCCAGTCTCTCAAGTACAAATTCCTTGTCACTTCAGGAACCAAAATCACTGCTAATGACACCAAGTCTGCCATGTCAGCGTCAAATTATGTTCTGACAGTGCACGTATATCACCGCAACCAGGCACTCCTACGGTAACTAGTTGAGCTGTTACCACTATCACCATTACCACCATTACCACCACAGAAATATTATTTATCGTCAATTGCAGTTATAATCATCGCTATTTTCACCATCGTTGCTAATATTATTTACTACTCTCATCACCAATACTCACCACCACTACTCACCACCACCACCACTCCACCACCACCACTCACCACTACTCACCACCACCACTCCACCACCACTCCTCCCACCACCACCACCACCTCACCACCACCACACTCCACCACCACTACTCACCACCACCACTCACCACCACCACCACTCCCCACCACCACCACCACCACTCCACCACCACCACTCCCACCCACCACCACTCCCACCACCACTCACCACCACTCCCACCACCACCACTCCTCCCACCACCACCACCACTCACCACCACCACTCCACACCTCCACCACCACCACTCACCACCACCACTCCCACCCCACCACCACTCACCACCACCACCACTCCACCACCACCACTCCACCACCACCACTCACCACCACTCACCACCACCACCACCACCACCACCACCACCACCACCCACCACCACCACTCACCCACCACCCTCCCACCACCCTCCACCACCCACCACTCCCACCACCACCTCACCACCACCCCTCACCCACCACCACACCACCACCACCCACCTCACCACCACCACCACTCACCACCACCACCCTCCCCACCACCCCTCCACCACACCACTCCCCACCACCACCACTCACCACTCCCACCACCACACTCACCACCTCCCACCACCACTCCCACCACCACCACTCACCACCACCCTCCCACCACCACCACTCACCTCCACCACTCCCACCACCACCACTCACCACCACTACTCACCACCACCACTCACCACCACCCTCACCACACCCTCACCACCACTCCCACACCACCCACCACCACCACCCACCACCACCCCTCCCCACCACCACTCACCACCACCACTCACACCACCACTCCACCACCACCACTCACCACCACCACTCACCCACCACTCACCACCACCTCACACCACCACCACCACCACTCCACCACCACCACCACCACTCCACCCACCACCTCACCACCACCCTCCTCACTCCACCACCACCACTCACCACCACCACCCTCACCACTCACCACCACTACTCACCACCACTACCTCACCACCACCACTCACCACCACTACTCACCACCACCCTCACCACCCACCATCCACCCACCACACCCTCACCTCCACCACCACTACTCACCACCACTACTCCACCACCACCACTCACCACCACCACTCACCACCACCACTCACCACCACCACCCACCACCACCCTCCCACCACCACACTCACCACCACCACCACCACCACTCACCCACCACCACTCACCCTCCCACCACCACTACTCACCACCACTACTCACCACCACCCTCCCACCACCACCACTCACCACCACCACCACCACTCCCACCACACCACCACTCACACTCACACCACCTCCCACCACCACTACTCACCACCACCACTCCCACCACCACTACTCCCACCACCACCACTCACCACCACTCACCACCACCACCACCACCACTCACCACTCACCACCACCACTCACCTGCTCCACCACCACCTGTCCCTAACACCCCAGGCTAAAGCCACAATTAAACCTGTTTGGAAATTTGTCAAACTAGATTTTCCGACTCATGTGTTGTGAGGATATAGTGAGCGCTCATAAAGTGTTCTGAGTGTTGTGAGGATATAGTGAGCGCTCATAAAGTGTTTGGTGTTGTGAGGCATATAATGTGTTTTGAGTGTTATAGGGACGCTCATAAGTGTTTTTGAGTGTTGTGAGCCTCATAAAGTGTTTTGAGTGTTGTGAGGCGCCTCTCATAAGTGTTTTGAGTGTTGTGAGGCGCTCATAAAGTGTTTTTGGTGTTGTGAGGCGCTCATAAGTGTTCTGAGTGTTGTGAGGATATGTGAGGCGCTCATAAAGTGTTTTGAGTGTTGTGAGGCGCTCATAAAGTGTTTTGAGTGTTGTGAGGCGCTCATAAAGTGTTTTGAGTGTTGTGAGGATAATAGAGGCGCTCATAAAGTGTTCTGAGTGTTGTGAGGATGTGGCGCTCATAAAGTGTTCTGAGTGTTGTGAGGATATAGTGAGGCGCTCATAAAGTGTTTTTGAGTGTTGTGAGGCGCTCATAAAGTGTTTTGAGGGTGTTGTGAGGCGCTCATAAAGTGTTTTGAGTTGTGAGGATATAGTGAGGCGCTCATAAAGTGTTTTGAGTGTTGTGGGGCGCTCATAAAGTGTTTTGAGTGTTTGTGAGGTTATAGTGAGGGCTCATAGTGTTTGGTGTTGTGAGGCGCTCATAAAGTGTTTTTGAGTGTTGTGAGGCGCTCATAAAGTGTTTTGAGTGTTGTGGAGGCGCTCATAAAGTGTTTTGAGTGTTGTGAGGCGCTCATAAAGTGTTTTGAGTGTTGTGAGGCGCTCATAAAGTGTTTTGAGTGTTGTGAGGTTATAGTGAGGCGCTCATAAAGTGTTCTGGTGTTTATATATGAAAGCTGTATTTTTCCTCATATAATTTTTTGTCATTTGGTTTATCAGTATTTCTGTTAACAATTTGTCTATGTTTATGAGGCAATATTTTCCTGACATAATCATTTAGTTGTTTTGTTTTTGTAACATTTTAATCACATGGACAGTGCTCTTGTCTACATAGTAAGTTATTGACGTTAATATATTGTTTGGTTTTTGTTTTCACATTGTTTGCTTAATATTTTATTGTCTTGTTTACATAATTGTGTTATTTTTCTCCTATTACGTATTTTCCTCAAACTTTTTTTCCTCTTGTTTACATAATTATTTCCTCAAACTTTTTTCCTCTTGTTTACGTAATAATTTTTTTCAAACATCGTCTTGTTTACATAATTTCCTCAAACTTTTTTCCTCTTTACATAATAATTTCCTCAAACTTTTTTCCTCTTTACATATATTCCTCAAACTTTTTTCCTCTTTACATAATAATTTCCTCAAACTTTTTTCCTCTTGTTTACATAATTTGGTGTAGTAAAGGGTGGGCCAACAACACCACTTCTGTGATTATATTTGGCGTGAAATGTTGTCCCCACATTACTGTCAGCGGTAATGGGTTAGGATCTTACAGTGAAGTTCAACCCGGTAAGCGACGGCACATGCTCCAATTATTCCTCCTTTCCTCTTCTTCCTATCTTCTTCCTCCTTATCTTTCTTCCTTCTTGGTCTCTCTCTCTTTTCTCTCTCTCTCTTCCAAAGTTGTTCCCGTTCTTTCGTTTCTTGTCTCCATTTTCTCTTTATTCTCCCTTGTTCTTCTTCCTGTCTTCTTTTTCTACTTTTCATATTTATTTGTCCTGTTTTATTTCAGTTTGTTCTTCTTTCATTTCTTTCTGTTTCTTATTTTTTATCTTAATTTTTTGTCTCCTTACCTTCTTTATCTTTTTCATTTCTTCCTGTTCCTCTTTGTCTTCTTCCTTTTTCCACTTCATTGCATTTTATCTTCCTTTGCCTGCTCCTCCTCTTCATATTTCCTCTCTCTCTTTATTACCTCTTCCTCTTTTATGTTTTCCTGTTCCCTGTCTTACTCATTTTCTTTTCCTTTCCTCATTTTTCTCCTTCCTTTATTCCTTCTCGTCTTTCATTTTATTTTCCTCCTCTTTCTCTTTTCTTCCTTCATTTTCTTTTTTACCGTATTTTTCTTCCTTTTGTTTCGTCCTTTCGTCTTTTTTTCCTCTTTTCCTCCTTATTCACTTTTCTCTCTCTCTCTCTCTCTCTCTCTCTCTCTCTCTCTCTCTCTCTCTCTCTCTCTCTCTCTCTCTCTCTCTCTCTCTCTCTCCATGTTGTTTAAATGTCACTTTCTCATTTTCTCTATCTTTTTCATTATTCTTTTCTCCACCCCTCCTCTTCCTCCCCTCTTCTTTTCTTCTTCCTCCTCCTCTTTTTCTTCCTCTTCTTCCCTCCCCTCTTCTTCCTCTTCCTCTTCTTCTTCTTCTTCTTCTTCTTCTTCTTCTTCTTCTTCTTCTTTCTTCTTCTTCTTCTTCTTCTTCTTCTTCTTCTTCTTCTTCTTCTTCTTCTTCTTCCTCTTCCTCTTCTTCTTCCTCTTCCTCCTCCTCCTCCTCCTTTCTCTTCCTTTTTTTTTTCCTCTTCTTCTTTCTTCTTCTTCTTCTGATACTTGTTTCTTGTCATTATATATCTGGCCGTTGCTGCTAATCTTCCTCCCTTCCTCTTATCTATGCCGTTGCTGCTGCTGCTACCTACTGTTGTTGCTGTTTCTGTTGCCTGTTAGTACTGTTCCTCCTGCTGTTTACTGTTGCTGTTGCTACCTGCTGTTCCTGCTTCTGCCTGTTTTCCTACTGCTCCTGCTGTTGCCTTCTGTTGCTGTTCCTGCTACCTACTGTTGCTGTCCTTGTTCCTGCTTCATTGCCTGTTGGTACTTCTCCTCTGCCATAACCCGTTTCTATTGCTTCTGCTTCTTTCCCCTCTCCTACTTCCTACTACCTGCTTCACCTACCTTCCCTGCTCCTCCTTTAAGAGGCTCACAGCTCGGCGTCACGTGTAACTCCCCGTTAAAGTAATTTTTCTCTCGTGAAAGAAAGGTTTGGTGAATTACTACGAAAATACATTTAAATGGGGCCATAAGTTAGTATTTTTGGCTATTTTTTTATGGTGAGTTTTTCTGTGTGTGTGTGTGTGTGTGTGTGTGTGCGCATATATAACACCTAAGAACACACACTCAACTTGATACAGTATTTACTATTGCAGCTGTAACGTGATTTTGTAACGTGAACATTTTTTGCCGGTTAATACAGCCGGCTGGTGATATTGGCGAGTGTTTGGCGGTGTAATGAGATAATGTTTTCTGTTAAATGACTAAATGAGGAATGAAATAATTACTTGGAAAATTTGAGCTATCTATTACGAAGCGATTTGGGTTTTAATTAATCCAATGCGAATAGAGTGTCTCTCTAGTACTG